GGCCTCCGATCTCGCATGCGTCCCCAGTGTCATCTTTGCTCTGGACCGATCATCGTCGCGCCGATGCAGCGATGCACCGAGATGAGATCGCATCCTAAGTTACCCGCACTTTCCCATGCTGATATTTATTGCGTTGGGTATGGTCATTCCTGCCAGCGTGCGGCTGCTGACGCTGCCGCAGAGGGCGGACGGGGCTGGCAGGGGAGCCCGAGAACTGGGCCGCCGCGAATCGAAGCTGAGCTCGCTGAAGGCGCTCGTCCAGAAGTCCGACGACGCGCTCAAGTTCTATCAGGCCTTCGCGTTCGCATATTTTTCCAGCTCGGTCGCTGTCGCGTTTGCCTGGGCGGTGCAGGTGGGCAGCGGGCAGATCTGCTTCTCGGGCTGCGACAACCAGTTCACGGTCGTCAGCGACAGCTGCGGCGACTCGGCGGCCGACGGTCTCGACTCTGGCCTGGCCGTCGGGGGGACGCAATTGTATACACCAGCACCGATCCTACTGGCGGCTGGCGGCGAGTTGGCGACGGCGGGCGGGCGGGCGGGTGACGGCGACGGCGACGGCGACGGCGACGGCGACGGCGACGGGGCGGGCGGCGGGCGACGGCGACGGCGACGGCGACGGCGACGGCGACGGCGACGGCGACGGCGACGACGGCGACGGCGACGGCGACGGCGCGGCGGCGGGCGCCGGGGCGGCGGGCGGCGGCGGCGGCGGCAACGACGGCGGCGGGGGGCGGCGGGCGGCGGTCGGCGGCAGCGACGACGGCGGCGGTGCCGCCGGGGGCGCCCGGCTCGGCCCTAGAACGGACGGCAGAGGCGCCCACGTTTGAGGAGGAGGAGGAGGAGGAGGAGGAGGAGGAGGAGGAGGAGGAGGAGGAGGAGGAGGAAGGAAGAGGAGGAGGAGGCGGAGTTGGAGGCGGAGGCGGAGGCGGAGGCGGAGGCGGAGGCGGAGGAGGAGGAGGAGGAGGAGGAGGAGGAGGAGGAGGAGGAGGAGGAGCTGGAGGCGGAGGCGGAGGCGGAGGAGGAGGAGGAGGAGGCGGAGGAGGAGGAGGAGGCGGAGGAGGGGGCTCCAGGGACCTCTTGCGAATTTCGAGGCGAGTTTGGCCGTGGTGACGAGGAGCGGGTAGCGGCCGAGAGCCCCTGAGATCCAACGTTGCAACGTAATTGCAGCATGGCAAACGATCATGGCCAGAGCCCTAGACCCAACCTTTCTGCGGCGCCTCTGGAGCCAGATCGATCTGTGATGGTCCTGGGCCCCGAGACGGCGAAAATGCCCAAAGTGAAATATTTGCAGCGCGCCCAGATCAGAGAGATGCATCGCCCCCCAGTGCGAACGCCCGAGAACGGGGAGAGGAGGAGGCGCCAGAGCTCTGCGTGGGGCTCTCCTCTCCAGCGCCCCGCGCACTGGACCCAGACCCCCGACGGCGTGCTTTTTCCACAACGTGACCCCTGGAGGTCTGGACCTCTTCCCTGGGACCGGCTTCTCATCCCGAGTCGTTTTTTGACCGCCCCAGGGTGGGACCCCAGAGGTTGTGTTCCTGGCCATGAGCCCCCTCTTCGTGGCGTTCGCGAACCTGGTCTTCGGGCTCTTCGCGCTGGTCCGGATCGTGATGAACAGCACCTACCTCTCTACATCGAGGCACCGCAACCAGCTGGCGACCGCCCTGCGCGTGAACCGGGAGGCGCTGGAGAGGAGCGCCCCGCACGGAGTTTTGGCGGCTTCTCCTCTCCCTGTTCTCGGGCGTTCCGTCATTGGGGGCGCAAAATGCTTGAGATCCAGGCGTTGCAGTTTTTGCACACCGGGCGTTTTCGCCCAGTTTCGGGCCCCAGGGCCCTCCACCCGGCGCCAGCCTTGCCGCGGTCTGGCCCTGCTCTGAGCGGGCCTGGGTTCCTCTCCCTCCCGCCCGCGCCGGGCCTCCTCTCTCCTACTGCGTGCCCTGCGGCCTAATGCGCGTTTTGTGTGACCCACTAATGCCACTTCGCTGGAGCAGTCCCTCTGCCCAGCCGCCGACGCAACAAAAAGGTGTGCGTGTATGTTTGTCTCTCCACGTCTGCGAGTACCCAGGCGCTGGTTGCGCCCCTGATGACGATTACGGGGGTCATTTTCTAGCAGGAAAGCAGTCACCAGGACGACCCCCCCCCCCTTTCCCCCTTTTCGGAGGGAATCGGAGACAAGGGAAGTTTCTAGGGACCTCATGGGAGGCTCTTGGGGGCACCCGTTACACTCTTGGTCGCCTCTTGCTGGCTTGGAGGCATGCTCGGGCGCCATCATGCGGAATAGGAGCGAGGGAGGTTGAGGTGGACGAGAACGGAGGAGGAAGATGAGGTGGGAGCAGAGGGATGGATTGATGGGTGGATGGCTGATCCAGCTACCTACGGCAAGTCCCGCCACCGTGCCTGGGTTGTGTGTTGCAGGCCTCTTGGGTGTTTGTACGGATATCGTGTGAGGCCTCTCGGGGGCCTGTTGGGGGCAGTTTGAGGCCTCTTGGGGGCCTCTTGGAAG